GTCAGCTGTTCAAGTGTTTTTCCAAGTCGAAACTTTTCTTTTAAATATTTTCCATACTTATCCCCAGTCATGTGCTGCAAAAGTTTTATGCATACGCATTAATGTGAAAGGGGGGGTGGAGAAAGTGGGAGATATTCCCTTTGGATGGCACTCGGAAAATGCAAGTACCCTTATTCACTGCATATGTGTAAAAAGCCATTGCCGTCGGAGGGTAATTATAAAGTTTGTCGGTGATAACTTTTGTTTTAGGCAATGATTAATAAAAACATTTTATTCACTGATGTCTTTATCAGAAGGTTAAATCAGTAAATAAGATAAAGGAATTCAGATCCTAAAGTAATTTTAGCTAAGTACTTAATTTTTAAATGATATAATTTCATCCAAATTGTAAAATATTATTTATTAATTATTATTGACAGTGCAACTCAAAAAAAGCGGTAAAAACAAATATGTTTTTATCATGGCTTGATTTTTGATTCTTTATAATAATCCAAAAGTTGAATTTATTCTGAAAAATTTCTCACGCTTACTCAATTTTAATTATTTAAATGATCATAAATATTATTTTTCCCTTATAATTAAAGCATATTACTCCATGTTGTAAATAAAAAAGCAATGTGTAATAATTTTACATTTTGAAACTAACTTCAGATTTTTAAAGGTGTTTCCACAACGTCTTTTAAATTTTGCTACTTAAAAGTGAAAAGTTTTCAATGAATTTGTTCTTAAAACAAATAAAATAAAATTAAGTATGTAAGTACACAAAAACGCCATTAAATTAAACCGGAATTACCGATTGTAAAGCTCTTGAATGTAATTTCCATAATCTTGTTAATAAATCAGGCTGCTATCTAAATTTACAGGAACTGCCCTCGCAGTGCAGTCAGCCATGAAGTGCATGTTTCCCCAATTTGCATGCCAAATTGTTTACTTCTCTCATTTCAATGTGCTTTATCAATTTGAATTTTAGTTGAGTTGCATGTTTGGGTTCCCTTAAAAGAATGCTCGCTTGTGAATTAGTTTTCCAAATGAAATTTCCGAAAGAAATCATGAAAAATTGTTAAGATTTCGCGGGATAAGCAACAATTTGATTTAGCGAGCTGACTGCACTGGAATGTCATGCATAAAGTTTTGTGCATACAAAGCTCTCTTCATGGGCACACAAATGGCTTTCCCCAACAGCCACCCACTCGAACGAACACCTTTGCCACCCACATCCACATCCACCCACCGGAACACCTGGCACCACCCGTCCAAATGGCGCTATCAAAGCCGGCGAATGTCTATTTAATTGTGTCTGCTATACGGTGTCGTCATGTCGATGTTTGGACGCCACCCACTTTCTGATGGGCGGTGGGTTGTGGGTGGTGTGGCGGCAGCATCAAATGCACTTTAGCCCATCGTCCCGTTAACTGACACGGCTTGCTGATGGCCAGTGTTGCAGATTACTTAAAATAGCTTAAAACAGCTGAGACTAATTTAAAATACTTAAACATTTTCCTATTCATTTTTTTTCTTAAGTGACAATCTTCACTTTTATGCAGACCCCTTATATTTATCATAATTTTAAAAATTTAGTTAAAATCTATTATTGCATCTTAAAGTGATTATTTAGATAAGAAAGTCTTGCAAATTTTTCTAGATATAAAAGTTTAGTGCTCAGAACTTAAAATGTTCCTAGTGGTTTTCTTCAAAAAGTTTATTTTAATAAATTTTTCAGTGTTTTAGCGTGCGCATATTGCACATTTATAAAAATTGACATAAACACCGTGGTTCGCAAATGTAAATATTGTTTATTCTAACGATTTATGAATTTCATATCAAATTAAAAAGAAACATTTTCAAACTGCCAACATTAATTAGTTTATTAGTTAAGTCAAACAAACTAAAAGGTGATTCAAAACTTTGTTTTTTTACATTTTTCTTTAAAGTTTACTTTTACTTGCATTATACATATTTTAAGTAAACAAAACTATGATTTGGCTAATTTATATGGTTATTTGTCAAATATTTAAAATACTTACAACTTGGCCAGAAAAGAGCTAGGTAGGTAACACTGTTGGTGGGTTTTCGCTTGAAGTCGCAGGTGTTGCTGCTGGGAGTCTGCGGTGTGGTTGCCACACCTGCAATTTGAGTCGCTTGTTCATACATATAGAAATGTGGGTGTGGGTGTGGGTGGGTGGCAAGTGCGGGGGGAGGCGGTGGCTGTGTGGGTGGCAAATGAAGTCATAAAGTCTGATTTCGCCTGTTCATGCTCATTATCACGTAGCGATATCGTGTAATCGTCATGCCCACGATAATGATGATGTTAACCAAGTGGATCGCTGTATAACCTCCCCCCCTCCCCCGCCATTGCACTCCATACACAATTTTCTCTATCTCTTTCTCTGGCAGAATCTTTTCCCATTTATTTTCCTGCATCTGCGCTAGTAACGCTAGTAAACTTTCTGACCAAAACTGACACATTCATGAAACAATTTAAAAAGTCATTGTCATCGCAGGATATAGTTCCCATCTCCATCGCTCCTTAGCTCCCTTTTTAACTGTCCTGTCAATGGCACCGTCATTTGTTTTGTTGCCCATTACGGTCAATGTCCCTAGTTGAAAACAAAATTGTCATTGCTCCAGCAAGTGCTTGGGTGAGGAGCTTTACTCCAGTTGAAGCTGAAGTATGTGCCAAGCCAGTAGTCTCTGCCCTATATAGTATAGTATTTCCACTGAGTCAAGGAGTTTGCTCCCTTGCTTCGCTTTCCTCGAAGGATAGGGTGTCTTTCGGTCGTCACAGTCTCCATATCCTTGCCAAGTTTTGTTTGTGTCGAGAAACTTTTTAACTGCTTGCTTCGGTGCCTTTGTTTTCGCCGCTTACGTGACAGAGCTATTTCCAAAAATAATTTAAAGTCTTTAAGTTAAAAGCTCCCTCAGTAATTGTTTTTCCCAGTTGCTTATTGAAAATAACTTTGAAAAAGATTGTATATTTTGTAGTTCAATAAGCTGGTTCTTTAGAGATTTTAACGTCGATATCTTTTGAAAGCTAATCCAATTTAACTACCCAAAGAAATTAGAAAATCATTAAATAGGGATTTATTTCAACTGAATGCACGCCAAGGGATTTCCTAGGAATTCCAGCACTTTTGATTAAGGGACAATAACCTCGCAGCAAATGTTGCAGAAATTCATTATTGCATCGTAATGACGAAAGGACCAAAAGAAAGGGAGGCGAGGAGCAGATGCGAATGGCTCCCAACAGTGTAATTTGTGAGAGCCAAAGCCACAGGATTTTATTGAGCGGAAAATTAAAAGCATAAAATTGCACGCTTTAAATTTGAGTGCAGCGGCAAGTGAAATGTGGCAAGTGGCAGCAACACAAGCCACACCCGCAAAGTGCCGGAGCATATCGCGCCAAGTCGGAGTCCAAGATTGCCATAAAGAAGAGGAGCAAGGGTTTTCCAAGCCCTTTTCCCAACACCCATGCCCCATCGCCTTTACTTTTGCCCTTCACCACCAGATGCAACTTGCAATCTGTGGTTTTTGGACTCACGCGCATACTAAATTCAACTTATTGACAGGCTAGCACTGGAACGTGTTCCGATAAGCGACCAGGTGAGTGAGTTCCACCTGTAGCCCCTTTCCTGGAAGCTGGCGGAAAAAGATTTCCCACTGAAAATGGCAATATCGGCACTACTTCGCCCATGAATCTTGCCAATGACAGGGGGACAAATGTTAATTACAAATTTATGACAATGTTTGCGTGGGAAAGCATGGTAGGTTTCCTAATCAGGTTTTTCTCGGGGCAACCAAAGTTGTGAAGGCCCATATCGACCTTTGAATTATACCAAAAGAAAAAAATTTAAGATTACACAAAAAGGGAAAAGCGCGAAGATCGAAAGTTAATTTTTTTTATAATAAATTATAATCTGGCTACGAAAAAATTCATTTACGTTTCCGTTTTGTTAACAAATGTGTCATCTTAGATTGCTGTTGAAGTATACGCGAAAAATTGGGTTTTGTTAAATTCGAAATATAAACAAGAGAGAAATATGCTATTGTATTGCGCCATCTACCCCAAGACATTGGTACCAAGGGCCATGAAAGGCGGAAATGTAGGCGCAAGCCAGGCTTAAGCGTTTAATGGGTTTTTGGGCGTTAGAATGCAAAATGCCAATCTTCTAGCTTTTATAGTTTCCGAGATCTCAGCGTTCATACGGACAGACAGACGGAGAGACGGACAGACGGACATGGCTAGATCGACTCGGCTAGTGATCCTGAACAAGAATATATCTACTTTATAGGGTCGGAAACGCTTCCTTCTACCTGTTACATACTTTTGCACGAATACAATATACCCTTTTACTCTACGAGTAACGGGTATAAAAATTCGAAAAATAAAACAAGAGAGAACGCTATAGTCGGGTGCCCCGACTATCAGATACCCGTTACTCAGGTAAAGGGAGTGCGAGGGAGATGGAGATAGAAACTTTGATCACGCATAACTTTTTAACGAATGGTCCGATTTGAAAAAGTTCTTCTACGTTTCGATAGGTATTGATAAACACAATAAAACTGCATTTTTACTTTTCCGAAATATTTAAATTTTTAAAATCGTATATAAGCGATTTTGGGCGTTAAAGGGGGCGTGGCACCTTTTTGAAACAAACTTGCGCTGCGTAGGAACTCCTAGAATCTGCATGCAAAATGCCAATCTTATAGACTTTATAGTTTCCGAGATCTCAGCGTTCATACGGACGGACAGACAGACGGACAGACAGACGGACAGACGGACAGACGGACAGACGGACAGACGGACAGACAGACAGACGGACAGACGGACATGGCTATATCGACTCGCCTAGTGACCCTGATCAAGAATATATATACTTTATAGGGTCGGAAACTCTTCCTTCTAGCTGTTACATACTTTTGCACGAATACAATATACCCTTTTACTCTACGAGTAACGGGTATAAATACTATATCTACTAAAAATTTCATCCATAAAAAAATATTATAGTTGTAATTTAATTCTAAATCTTAACTTTATAAATCAAACAAAATTTCTTAATACTTTTATTACATTTTACGAGTTGGGCCTATAATTTTACAATATCATACCAAAATATTACAGCACGCGCATATATTTCCAAGTAATTGAGCTATTAAAATGACCTTAATGCGAAACGGATTTTATTCAATGGTGCGGCCCATCCTGGGCATAATCGGTGGCATCCACTCCTCGAACTGGGGAATGTCGAAGAGGGGATGGTCGTTGAGGATGTCGAAGCGGACCACCTTGTAGGTGGAGATCAGCCACTGGCCCATGCACCGATTGTTTTGGTGCACATTGCCCATTCTGATGGGCTCCACGGAATAGTCGCGTCTGAAGCGCATAAAGACCTCGGCGAAGATCAGTGGGTGTGGCACTCGCAGCTGCGAGGGATCTACATACTGCTTCAACAGTTCTGTCATCTCTCGGAGTTCCGATGGCGTCCGGAAATCGTTGGATCGCCGCAGGGCCACAAAGATCACATCCAGGAAAGCGAACCTATGATCGTAATGACGCAGCAGTTGCACCTTCAGGGGAATGGCCCTCCGGAAGTGGATCTTCTCGAAGCGCATGAGATTCAGCCTCCAGTCAGGCGGATCGTCCAGCAGATCGTGCTTGACCTGCTTGAAGCCCATGGGCGTACTGCATCGCTCCACATTCCGATTCCGACGACGCCTCACAAAGTCGGTGAAAACGGCGGCCGCCTGGCGTGAGTTCTCCATGAAGTGGCTCTCGGAGAACTCCCAATCCCAGAGAAACTTCAGCCGGAGCAGAGCCAATTTGGTGGTCAGACGACTCAGTGGACTGTAAAAGTAAATCATCGAGGCCAGGGACATCGGCTGGGGCTCGTCTTTGGCGACGAAAAAATCCAGCTCGATGTTCAGTTTTCTGTCCTCGTCCTGCTGCTCTTTAGAAGCTTCACCCTGCGGCGCATTTTGTCGCAGACTCTGGAAACTATTGCGCACCTGGAGAGGAGCATTCAGGTTGTGTCTCGAGGAGATGGCACTCAGCCTGGGGACCAGCATCGATCGCTGCAGCACATGACCGTAGCAGGAGCACTTGTTCATCAGCAGCGGGTGTAACTTCATCTTTCCATAGCTTAATTTGGGTAGAATTTTGTCAAAAGAAGAAGCCGGAATAATCAAACCGAACGGAATACATATGTATGTAAGCAGTTGGCATTTATTGCTCGGAGTGAGGATTGAGGGATAGGCACTTCCCACTTCAATTAGTCCCGCATTTCTAAGTCTTCACTGAGAGAAATTATTTGCTAATGAAATAAAATTAGAGCGGGACTTCAATTAAAGCGAAATCGATTCTTCCTTTTTTCAACATATACGCTTATGTAAAAATTGAATTATAGTTATTTTTACGATGTCAAAAATAGGTATTAATTTTTATAAAATTTGGAAGACCCTATTATATTGAGTATAGATATACGATAAACTCCACCGTATGTTTTCAAATGAAGAAACAAGTCCTTTCTTTTGAACTTCGAGCTGTTATTGCTTAATTCCAAAGCGTCTATTTTCTCACTGCATTATCTCATATTGGCAAAACAACAATAAGATCCTAATTGAGCCGACATAGAGGGGAATTCAATCCGCTTGAGACCGAGAGCAGGACCGTACATTATTCGCCCGACTCCCGCAGGAGTGGTTTCATTGATTCAACAGCATGCAATTATCGAATGCAATGGCAAATTCAGAGTGCGCCCACATTTAAGCTTCTATTCACCTTTGGCCACCTTTGCCCACCTTCATCCCACCCGCATTTGTTTGCCCAGGCGTTCGTTTATCCCTTCTCGGGTGAAGGAAAACAAACAATGCCAAATGGGGAGACAAGACAGACCCGCCCAGCAGGAAACTCAACAGGAGCATCCGCCCACCGACTTCTACATAGGGTTAATTCCTTGACAATTGAATTCGATTCGAGAGTGCCGGTTGCAAAATATGCAAATGTTTTCGGGATAATTAAATAAGAGTCTATTACACAGGTAACTAAGGAAATTTTAGGCGAACAAAGGCATTGGTTACTTTGCAAAATATACAAAATAAATTATTTAAAGGCTGAACAACTATGATATATTTTTCATTTACTTATTTTGGTGAAAATATTAAACTCAATAAATATAAATTGAAATGCAATTGGATACGTTGCCAACGTATTGGATGCAAATGCCTCAATGCTTTAGTAAACACGAAAGATTCATGTTTATAAGCATTAAATTACCTTTAAAATAGTGCAGCGAATGAATTTTGCAATTAATGATAAAGTACGAACATAAAGTCAAAACAGTCAGTCAATTTTAAATTCCTTTATACAACTTTAATAAACGTTTTTGATTATTAAACTCACAATGTATTTGCTTTGTACAGTAAAGACTATGACGTTAAAAGGCATTTATTTAGGTATTAAACATATTTTTGAATCAAATTTGTGCAGACTAAAGCCATTGAACTAAACTTCTAGCTATTCAGAAAAATATTGATGAAGTGTGAAATATAAAAACAAAAAGTACAATTGCCTCAAAACAATTTAAAACTGCCTTATGCAACTTTTGTGAACTTTTTCAATTATTAAATGGAAGCTACAAACAAAAGCACACATAAATAACTTATGAATTTCACACAATCCTTAAAAAGTACAGTTGCTCCGATGAGTATGCAAATCCATGGTAAAACCGTTTCAGTTTGATGCCTACAAACGTTTTAACTATTCAGAAGACAAAAATTCCATGTTTGATGGCGTAGATTTATCAAACGAAATATGAAATGAACGAATCGGAATAAACCTGCGACAATAGAGTTCGAGTATGAATAAATGCTGCAAATGGCAGGGAGCTGGGATTTCGGGGCACACACGGCGAATGGATGATGATATGCCGGAGCATTTGGGCACACAAAATCCCCGTGTAATCCCCGGAAAAATAGAGAGAAAACAGAGAGAAGTATCGCAATAAAATATGTTAAGTAAATACGTGGGGGGAGCCGGGGAAAACTAAACAATAAGCCAAAAAGTACGCTTGATTAAGTTTAACTTCCGGTCTGTTATAAATTGAGCATTTATGTGGGATTTGTTTGCGAAAACAGTTTCGACTTTGTTGGGCTGCCCAAATGGCAGTTGCCCCTCAAAAAAATCCATGCCATCCATCCATCGGATTGCCAAACGAGACAAATGTTTAGGCCAACACACACACACACACACACTACCGTATGTCTATTTCCGGCGGAAGTGGTGAATAAAACATGAAACGAAATAAAATGACGGCCCGAGGCAGAGGTGGAAACGAGAACTTTTAGTGGCCAAAAGTGAACATCCGTTGGCGAGGCCTGAGATTTTCCTGCTCCTGCCGTTGGCATTGTTGAGTTTTGTTTTGTTTACTTGGGCGCAAATGGCTAAATTATTCCTGACCCAGCCAATCAAAGGGTCAAATAAAAATTAAATGGCAAACATTTTATCGAGCACTGCGAGAAGTCTCAGAACTCGGCAACTGAGGCTGCATCTCTGGCACTTAATATCCGTAGATAAAATATTCAATTTCCCCCGATGACAAACTTAGGAAATAACTAACTGAATGGGAAACTGCAAAGATTCACCTGCTTGAAAAGCAAGATATGAAAACACAATCGATGTTTGCATATATACATATATCTCCTTCGATACGAACGTATTGACATTTTACCAGGAGTACCGTCTTGGCCGAACTATGAACATATTAGGCAGGCAATTGAGTCTGCCAACTGAATATTATAATCATTCGGTCATTGAAGTCCCAATTATCGTTATTGCCCTGCTTGGGGCGCTCGAGCATAGAAGGAATTGCAGTCCGTATCCAACCATAAGCTGAAATTCAGGTTTCATTAACGATCTGTGGCTTCGTCAACCGCAAATTATTTTACCAGGATTTGCACTTTGGCCCTTTCGCAAAAGGACCATGCAACTAATGTCCAAACCAATGCTTTCAACAGGATAAGGACCTAAAATCACATAAATGCAGGCTAGGATTAAGAACTGGCTCACGTTTTCTCCATTTTGTCAATAGCTTAAGGCACGTTTTATTGTCCATACTATTATTGGCCAGTAAGGTGGAGTAAGCAGCGATAAATAGGCGATATGTTTTTAATATTATCTTAGGTTGGGTCTATGTTGGATGGTTATCGAGCTAAGAGCCAAATTCCGTTTTTTTTGCATAGGTTTAGCATAGAATAATGTGAACAACGTGAAGTAAAATGTAGTTAAGTTTTTGCCGGTTTTGTCAAATTTATTATGGAATAATGGAATATTTTGGATATTTTTGGTCTATTGACCGGTCACTTTCTAACCACTAAGAGAGCTGTTGCAAGCGAAATGCCAAATGGCGGTCCAAATATGGCTAAATCAATTCTTTAAACTCTTTAACTCGATAGGAAACTAGAGGCAGTGAGAAGAGTACATTAAAGTTTGGGCGGGAAAACCAAAATCGATTTCTACACCGTTAATATATTTATCCTCCGAATAATTAAATGTTAGGGTTTGAGAAACCGGGTATTAATCTTCTTTGGTTTTATACTTGCACCTTGCTTACCATAAACATACATTAAAAACCATTATTGTTTAGAACATTTTATTGATTTGTTGATGATTTTTTGTTAACTATGGATATTTTCTGTTCTAACAGCGATAGTAAGCTATGACCTTGCTGCCAAAACCGTAGATGGGATCGTATTGTATGGGTTTGGGGGGCGAGGAGGGGCATTGTCTGCAGCAGGAGGACGGTGGACGGGGGCATCTGAAGAAGCTGGTGTTGGGTCGACACTTCGGAGGATTCGCATATCTGCAGACCAAGTCATCAGAGGGATAGCCATGCTTCATTTCCGTTTGCTGGAAAAGCTTGCGCTTCGGTTTCTTTTCCTGTGGTTTCTTTTTCTTTGGTTTCTCCTCGGGTTTCCTTTGCTCTGGTATCCTTTTCTCTGGTTCCTTTGGCTCCGGTTTCTTCTCTTCTGGCGTCTTCTCTTCTGGTTTCTTTTCTTCTGGTTTCTTCTCCTCTGGTTTCTTCACTTCTGGTTTCTTCTCCTTTCGTTTCTTTACAATCATCTGCTCAACTCTGCTCTGAAATACCGATGTCAAATTTCTCTGCGAGTCTCTGCTGGCATTTGGGCGCATCACAGAAGCCTCCTTTCTATTAGTTACCCTCACATGTACGGTGCTCACATTGCTAAGTTCGGAGGATTTTTTTCTTCTTTTTCCTTTTATCACTGTGGGTTTCTCTACCAATTTAACCTCCGAATTGGTACTATTTAACAGGACAAAAGGCTTGCTAAAAAGAAGATATGTATCAAATGCAGTGCTCCCTCTAAAGAGTGAACACTCGATTATGTAAGACATCCAAAAGACACAACAATAATAATAATACATATTAAATAGCCCAAGCAGATTGTAAACTTCTGAATATAAATTGGAATTTACTATGTTTTATATACAAATGTTTTTAAAAATATTTTTAAAAATGTTTAGTGCAAGCCAAAGAAGAAAACAAAAGGCTGAAACACTTTTGTCTAGTTTCATTCTTAATAAATAACATCTTTAAAAATATGAATATTTTGTTAGCCTTAAAATTCTTATATAATCTTTTGCTTACTCTTTAGAAGGAGCACTGAATTATTATTCAGTAAAGTTTTTGGCAGCCCTACCTTTTCTCATCGTCCTGTTCAACGGAATTGTTACTGTGGCTGGTCCGGTCTTCCAAAGACATATCCTTTCCGGATTCCGAGCGGCTCATATGTTCCACTGGTGACTGGGAAATGGGAGAGTGGTAAGATGTTAGTTGCGGTTCATTGGGATTCTTAAAGTCACTCTCAAATGCTTCATATTCCTGGTAGACCAGCTCCTCTGCCACGGAACTGGCTGATCTGTTACCGGATTGCTCCTTTAAAGACTCCATTATTGGCTCCAACTCTGACTCGCGCAGGACGCGGTGAGGAATGACAGCTTCCTTTTTGGTTTTCGCTCGAACGGTCTTCTTGCTCTGGGTTTCCTGCCTAAGGTTTGTTCCCGATCCCGACACCTGTGTGATCTTACTCCGCGTCTGAGTCTCGGTGAAGGCCTTCGTGCCATCAATTGGGAAATGGGTGACGGATTGGACCTCACTGAGTATAATTTCCTTTTCACCAGTGCGATGGTTCACCTCCATCTCCTTCGTCGTAAACTCGGTAACCTCGATTATGTCGGGTTCCACCAGATCCTTGGATTCCTCGGGGATCTCCTCGGTCTTTTTAGGTTCCTCAGGCTTTGGCGTCTGGTCCTTCTTGACCTCACAATCCATCTCATCCGTTTGAACGCCCATTTCATGGGTTATAGAACAGGAGCACCTTTGCGGGAAATTCCTGCCCCTGTCGTCTTCGAAATTATTCTGAAAACAGTTTTGGGGATTTGGCTGGAAACAGTTTTGAGATTGCTGGCCACAGTTTTGAGGAGATTGCTGGCCACAGTTTTGAGAAGTTAACTGGAAGTAACACTTTCGTGAAGATCCCTGTGGAAATGGCTGGCAAGATTCCTGGGGAAATTGCTGTCGCGCTTGTTGAGGAGACTGCTGGGAAAATTGTTGAGGAGATTGCTGGAAAAATTGTGGTGGAGACTGCTGGAAACATTGTGGAGGAGACTGCTGGGAAAATTGCTGACGCGCTTCCTGGGGAACTTGCCTAGGACTTTGCTGCCCAAAGTTGTAGTTTCGAGAAGGCTGAAAATTACAATTTCGAGGAGATTCCTGGGGAAGTTGCTGAGAATTTTTTGCGGCAAAATCCTGAATAACTTCCTGAGGATCTGATCTATTTGGGCAGCAAGGTCGTGGACAGCTCCCAGCCTGTGCTCTTGAATTATACGACAGGCTTGTCTTCTGCGGAAAATAACCGAAGTTGCGATATTTTACTGCAGGCATGCATTGTTCTTGGTATGACATCGGCATTCCATAACGATATTGAACACATTGACACGGCTCACTCATTGATCTACAGCGCAGCATCCTGCTACCCAAGATTTAAGCAAGACCCACAATTAAAAGGAGGACCAAATCTTATTAGGGATTAGCCCAGCATCAAACACACTAATTTTTTTGGTGAAACATCGAAAAGGTTTTTGTTTAGGTGGAATTGTTAATTTCAGGGCATGCTTAGAGTTTACACGTAAATATTTTACATAAATATATTTCGAATAGTAGATCCTTTAATTCCAAAAAAAGGCCTTGTTCTTAAATAGTTTATATTATATTATGTTTTTTAATAAAAAAAAGGGTTTTAAGTTCGCATTTATAGAAGTAGTTAAGACCAGCTTTAATTCTCAAAATCAAATGAAATACATCTCTCTCCTTGTTTAATCATAGGTACCCTTGAACCTAGCTTTAAATTTAGCACTCCATAACTAGTTTTTAATCACCCATGTTCTGATTTAAGCAACGCATTTTTTCATTGAAAAATAAAATTCTTAGAGTACGAAATTTTGAAACAGATTAAGTCGTCATGAGTTTTCAGCAGAAGTTGGATGATTTTAGCCAGAAGCTGGACTTGGCCAAGTGGTATATGGGCGTGTCCACCCATCAGGAGACCGCGATGTACGCCATGTCCGAAACCCTCCGTGATGACTACGAGCAGGGAACAGGCGAAAAGATGTACAAGGCCCTGATAATCCTGGGCGTCCAGCCGGTGATATCCAGGAAAAAAATCAGTCGGATGGTGCAGTTGAGCAGAAACAATATTCTGGCCTTCCTGTACTTTGTGCTGGAGGGTTACTACAAGACCTGCCAAAAGGATGGTGTATACAGTATCAACGAGCAGTTGCTGATGAACGCCATAGCCAAGATTGATATGATGCCCACAATACGAGCTCTCGACACCATACTCCCACCGCCCCAGCTTAGTAAGGCTGATATGCAGGCTCAACCGCCGACTCCAACGGTCCCAGTGTTACGTACACCAAAGAAACCCTCCAAGAAATTACCCTATTTCCAAAGCCAACCGAAACCCGTGCAAAGAACCTCGCGGTTGACCGCTAAGCTCCCTGATTTTGTTGTGTCCTTTAATTTCTGGCCCAATAATGGACCACCTAATTATGGCAGAGACGAGGAGGAGCCGTGGTATGCCCAGTATCGACTAAATCCCGGCCAGCGATTGATCAAGAAAACCCTCTCCGAGACCCTGGAGCGATATTTTAAGTTGGGGGGATTAGAAGGAAGTAAGGAGGATGAGGAGCGGCCGAAGAATCGGGAACCCGAGGCGAACATGTGTCTAATCCACAAGGGTCAAGTGGTGCAGGCGCAGCTTTTGAGGGACGAGCTGACGGTGAAGGCGAGGGATCGCTGCCTGGAACTGCTCGACGTCACAGAGCCATATGGCAAAATACGACGGGCTAGGATTTTGGCCCAGTTGGAGCACGACATAGACACAATCATGGCACGCCATCGCAATGCGATGCACTGCGACCAGACCAAAGTGCTGACCATTGAGAACTTTGATTGCGTGCTGTGCCAGCAAATGTTGGTATCGCAACCATGGCCAGAACCAAAGGACCAGGTGGGTCGTGCTCTGGTGGGTGAGGAATGCGGAATGGCCCACACGGCGGCTATCGATACCTATCGCGGAAAGAGGCTCGAGGGCGGAGGAGGCAAGCCGGTGAGCTTAAAACAACCTTCTCATTATATTTCATTACCAATCAAAATCGATTTGAAGGGTTATTTAAAATATAATATATAATATATATATATACCTTTATACTTATATCTAGGCTCATACATTACAAAATTAGGTACTTTTTACCTTACTTATTAACTTTTACTTACCTCAAACAAAAAAAAACACCTTGGTATTCAGTTACAAAAATATTTTTGTTAAATTGGGTTTTTGATTTTGCTTTACATTATTAAGTTAAGTATTTATTATTTGCTTATATGTGTATATGAATAAAAAATAGGAAAAAATTACCAAAAGCTTGAAGATAAGCTATTTCCGCCGCATATTCACTTAAATTTTTGTTTTAGACATATTTATTAGTGTGTAAAAATACCATAATTCAACTAAAACTTAAAATTAAGAAAAATATTCACCTCCGAATGACAAAATAACAATAGATTTACCTACTTATATTACTCTTTTTTTACTTTATACATTACCCACTTACTTGTGAAATTTGATAATTACATAACCTAGGTATTTATTACTAAAAACATCTGTACCCTACACAGGTCCAAGAAATTAGAACCTTTCCCAACACTTTTCAATTCTAGTTAAGAAAACACCTAAACTTTATTTTCACAGAAAAAAAACAAAAAGGATAAAAAGGATAAAAAGGGAAAAAATAAAAAACCGGTAGAATTGCCGCCAGAACCTCCAAAAGAAGAGCCCAAAAAGGTATCGCCCTGGAAACCACCACCTCGAAAACTTTTTAGCGGTGGCTTCCGTATGCATAGCATCGATTTTAATGAGCAATCGGAGAAGTGTAAGCCGATACTTAGTGCCTCGGAGTGCGAGGTCCCTCCGGCCCCAAAGAAAACGGCAGTATCATTTCTACTGGCCAAAGGAAAGATCCCAGCGATGGGTCATCAGTGTGAAATGCGAGTCGCGAGCAAGCGATACAAGAAGAAGTTCTTTCGAGGACCCCGGGCCAACAAGCCCTACCAGTTCATGTACTCCCGGGTCTTCCAATCCGGTCAACCGCGACCCTTTGACCTGAAGAAGATCGTGACCAAGTCGCTGGTGAAGGCACTGGATAAATCCGACGAGAAGGTTGATTATGGGCAGTGTGATTTCGATTGCCTGATGGCGGAGATGACCATTGAGGAGGAGGCTCCCCCAGATGGATCACCAGGAGGCGAAACGAAAAAGAACGCGTTGGGTGAAGCCCAGGGGCCAACTAATTTGTTCGATGAACTGGATCTGCTTGATCAGGATCTGGTCTCCGACAGTAAGGAGACCCTGGACCGTTCGAGTAACCACAGTCGTCGCAGCCATGTGGACCACAAGGCGGAGATCGTGGAGGCGGTGGTGCGATGCGCCAATGCCATCTGGCACAAGCAGTCCACCATAAAGCGGGCCGAGATGGAGCGTTTGGAGAGACTGACTCCGCGAAGGGCGCTCGTCTACAAGGACACCGATAAGTTCGATCCCGACGACGCCGAGCAGATGAACAAGCTGCTCAAGGACGGACTCCGTGCTCTCAGGAACGAGCCTCGCTTCGTCCTGGCCAGTTTGCCGGAGGCCCACAAGCTGCCCATTTTGAGGGAGTGGGTGAAGCGGAGGTACGGAAAGACCTACAGCCAAAAGGAGCTCGCGGACAACATTGCTGAGTCAAACAGAATATTCGAGCTGGTCAACTTGCTGCAGGGCAGTCCCCCAGATCCCGATCTCATGGGCATCGATCGTCTGCACAGATCCGAGGAGAACTTTGACAACTACAAGCAGATCAAGAATACGGTGAGCAATTTTTAATGGAAATTTATAAAAATATTAGTAAGCTCTAGACCTAAAAGCTATACCGCTAGCTACAAGTAGGTTTTGAAATTTAAAATTATATTTTTCTCAATTTAAGGGGGTATATACCTTTTTTGTCGAAAAAAATAGGAAAGTTTGGATTTTTTTATGTATGTAACTATTGTTTTTATTAAATGTATGATTATATTTTCTGAAAGTTTAGATTGTTGACAATGTTTATGCAAAAATTTTTCAAAAAATATTTAATAGTTTATAAGGTGTGGCTGTTTCCCTTAAACGCCTTTATTTTAAAGAGCCTTGCGGTGATAATTCCCCAGGACGAATGGGTCAACTGATACCGAAAAAATAAAAATATTTCATTAGTTTAAAGTAGTATCCTGTACTTGAACGAACGTTTTAAAAAAAAAATTTTTTTTTGTGCATACGGGAACGTTTTATGCAAAAAATGACGTTTTTGGACGCAAAAATTCTTACAAAACTATTTATTTCGGCGAAATAAAAATTTTTACATGAAAAAACGATCGTTCAAGTACTAATAAAATTCATTACGAACATTTAAAAAAAAATTTGAAGAAAATCGGTTCAGTAGTTTTTCGCCTATCCATATCACCGCAAAGTCATTTTTAAATAAAAACATTTCGAGATATTCGCGTTTAAAGTTTCAAGTTTGGGTTTGGGCGGGGACGAGGCGCGCGGCTAGGAGCGCTGTAACTTTTTTTCTACAGCTCAAATCTCTATGAAAATTTTGGGAAATATTCTCAAGAAGTTGTTCTTTAAGATAAAGCAAAAAAAAAAATTTCGATTTATACCCCCTTAAAGCAATGAACACAAGTAATCGGTTTTATTTTTTGGTAAATAAAATACTTCTTTATTTAGGGCCGATATTTTAATGCAAAAGTACATTTCGACATTAAGTTAATTTGCTGTTTCGAAAACATTTATTTGTTCAATACAATGCTAGTCTATTTGGCAGAAAGCTAATAACCAGAAAAAATTTGTTTTATAAATATTTTTCGTTTGGTTAAACGAACTTGATAAAGAAAAGTTTTCCTATTTTCTTATTCAGGTTTGGCAGCTCTACTTTCTCACCGATTTGTGTGAAAAACTGATTTTGTAAAGATATTTCGTACAAAAGCTTAACATCACAATATGAAAACGAATTTGTGTTTCCGAATAATTAAACTTTTACAGATAACAAAGTACAACCTTTTATAACAGAAACCTACTTTTTAAGCTTTAACTTTCAATTTCTCATATTCTGGAACTCCATTTAAAGACAGCTAAGAACGTTCTTGTGATATTTTTGTACCAATAAAAACTCTATTGATAACTAAATATGAGTAATTAGAACACCTTTTTTCACAGGCTTTCAACGTGAAGCAGACCTACCATGACCTGTTAAACGCGCGTTACTTGGAGACCATGAGCTCCGCCTGGTATGCCATGGGAAACTATTTGGTGCCCGGAGGACCTCCTCGCAGGACCTTCTTCGCCTACATAGCCTCCAATCCGCAGGAGATCATGCGGGCGAAGGTGTGGAGCGGCGAGTATCGTGATTACCGCGCCATGCGTGAAAAGAGGAAGGAACAGGAGCGGCTTTTGGGCAAAAAGGAAGATTAATCAGAAAAATAAAACAATTCCGGATTTAAGAATCAGTTGTATTTGGGTTTGGTGCGGGCCACTCTTTTCCCCGTGAACCCCTTGCTGGCCAAGTAATCGAGGATGGAGCGCTTGGTGTGCACCTTCAGTTGGCAGACGTCGAACTCCAGCTCCTTGTTACCATACTCGGCGCCCTCCATCCGTTGGACCAAGTGGATCACGTGCAGCAGCACCTCACCATCCAGTTGCTGGATCTTGGCGTGCAGATCGAGATCCTCTTCGGTGGTAAAGGGATTGCCGTCCCTCGAATTTCCCGAGATTTGTGGCGGAGTCCACTCCGGAGGATCCTGTTGAATCGAAGAGGCGACCTCCGAACTGCTCACCTCAGCTTCATTCGAGCTAGTTTCCGAGCTGTCATCCGAAGAGTCTGAAGAGCTTGAAGAGTTTGAAGAGCTGTCATCGTCGGGATCCAGATTATTGCCCTGGCAATTGTAAAGCTGAACCTGGGCGTACATCTCCTCGAAGACGAGCTGCAGCTTTTTGGCCATTTCGTAGCACAAGTGACCTGGATTCGTGTATAAATAGGTGTTGTAGAAAATCAGCCTCACATCCTTGGCAAAGTCCGCGGCTGTCTGATAACAACCCGTATTAACACGGTGTCGCACGGTGGATAGATCCATTGGTTCCTTAACAATCTCATGGTAATCGTGGAGGCCCAAAAGCTGGGCATCCAGTGGTTCGTAGAAGACCCAAGCGATGTTCTTGTAGGAACTGGCAAACAATCTCTTGATGATGACCTTGCAGGAATTTATTTCCGGCAAAGGCCGTTCACCCTCTTGTTTTCCAGACATGCTAGGAAAAGCTTGGGATAAGTCGAAACTCTCTAAATGACCACTATTTCTCACCCTTTTGTCACAGTCAATTCAGCTTAAATAGAGAGCCCAAAACAGTAGTAATATTTTTTACCAAATCTGTCAACTTTCCCTCACTGGGTTGCTTTGTTTACTTTTTTTGGTATTTTTAGTTGCAAAAACATACGGGATTGCCACCTCAACCCGAGCGGAAAAGTCAATCCACAAATGCGGTTAGGCCAGCAAACAAATTCAGTTAATTATGCAAGTGGTTCTGTGCAGAAATTTATTTTCATAAATTTTGTGTGGGAGTCTGGCCTTTTGGGAAATGACATTTCCCCAATCTTTGGCCTGGGGTAGTTAATCTAATCCCAAGGCCCGTGCAAACAGTCCCTTTTTTCCGGTGAATGTATTTCGACAAACATTGAAGTCCCTTAGAGATATTATTCCAGAAAATATTTATGGTCAACCGCTGACGTCTGCTATTTTAGAGAAGTCATATTCATTTGCATATAAACTTGGTTAGGAGATACAACATACATCATTTTTGGGCAAATATTTGCAACCTTTTCATTCGGACAGTCAACAAGTTGGGCTAATAGCAGAATCCCTTTTTAAAGTCATACTGTTAAATTGGCTTCCACATGCGTGAGGGGTAATCCTGTGGCTCTCTCCTGCTGTTAGCTTGCGATCCACAAGTGAGAGTAAATCAGGCTCACGCTCCTTCTCTCTCGCTGTTAACTCTAACTTACCTGCCACAAAAATGGCAAATTGGGTGGCAATCGGGCCAAGACTTGGCCATATCTTGGGGCACCTCTTCAGTCTGGTGCTGGGGCTCAAGGGGAATGGTCTTCTTGACAGTGGATTCCGGGCTTATACACTCCACTGACCCACTTGCGCGTAGGTAGATGTTGCGGTGATTGGATGTTGACCTTTGCCTACCGCACTTTATTTCAAGTGTGATTTCGGGGAATAAAATGCTAAAGATCGAACAAGACTCTAATAAAGTTTAAGTTTCCATTTCCGTTTCCCGCTAACTCCGCCCACTTCCTTTTTTTAGGGATCTAATTAAATATTATGCATGCAAAGGCATCCTTAAAATAAGTGACAATTAGAGGATAAAGAATGTCTTTAAAAGAAGGATATTTGGGCTTTCATTTTTTAACTTATTTCTATACTGACTAAAACTACAATTATTCATTTTTTTCGCTTAAAACCAATAATACATATCAAGATTTTACATTTTGATATCCAACCTCGCTTCCCAGAATATCGAGTATCAATATGAATAACCATTAAATTGTCGAAATATAATTGTTATATAATTTGCCATATAACAAGTTATTTGCAGATGTTAAACAATCTATGGATGTGTGGCTTAGGCATAGAAAGTTAATGATAAACTATGATTTAATTGAATTCATGATTATTGATGGGTTGTTCCAATCCCAAACAATTTCTAGACGAAAATATATTTTTTATTTTCTTCTAAGAACAAAAATATTATTTAAAAAAAACACAAAAATTATAATTAATGGATTTAATTTGTTTGCTCAAAATGAAAACAAAGGCATCTTTGTGCAGATATTTGCGGTTTGCATAGACCTGCAAAACGACTGTTGTGAACACAGTGAGCCAACAACCAACACGTTATTTGTGTACGTTAAGAAATCATTGACTTAGTGACACAGACCTCGTCCTGAAAAGTTTATGAGGATTTTTGATTTACTGATATCCCAATTGTATATACAACTTTAAAATGTTCAATAAAATAGAATCATACTTAAACATAGAAGTCATTTTACAAAAGGCATTTATAAAGTAATCATTCATTCAATCCATATTATATTAAGTGACATACTAAGGTTGCGAAAATGATTTAAAGTATTTTTAAATTTAAATTCAATTAAAACCAGTGTAGATTGCAGCGAATAAAATATAAATAAAGAATTTCATTCCTGCACTTCATTTCTGAGCCCTCGACGTAAGATTTCTTTTGAACTTGTCGATGCATCAAGTTCTGTCTGAGACTCATTTGCTATTCCACGTTAAAAAATTCCCTTTCTATCGCCGATTTCTAGATAAAAATCTTTTTTTATTTTTACACAAGTAAAACTGCGACACTCAATCAGTTGGCAGATGAAATTATACACCGAGGGACTGGGGCAGGTGCTAAAAGGATCGCCGGAGGGACGGAAAAAACGTGTGAGGCTGTCAGAACCAGGACTCCCCCCTCCCCACAATCCCTTATTCCCTCGCTCTGAGTATGTATCCCTACCTGGGCATCCCGCATCCCATTGGAACCAGGCAATACATATGGATAAATATAAGAAAAAGCGGCAGCAGCACAAAAAGCGGCAATATGAAAGCCCTGCAGAAAAAGGGAAAATAAGAGCCAGCATCGGAGAACGCCGAGGAGATATGAGAAATGTACATTTGGACAGGCTACACAGGCTACACACGCTGCCCTCGCAGGCAGTGCGACAGAGACGGGGCGAGCGGAGCGAAAGAGACGGGTCGAGCGGTGCGAAAGAGACGGGGACAGGCAGTCAGATGTCAAACATTCTTTTGACACTTTGTCATAGCATCTCCCGGTGACACTTGTCAGCAGTCGGATTTCGCATTTCGGAGGAATGGATGTGCCGCAGTTGATTTATACAGCCCTACCCATTCATACATATGTGTATGCGCTCCTATCTTAATAACATTTACTTCTGAATCGCTTGAATTCAATTTTACTAATGCATGAACAGGCCGGCAAGATAAAGATTTTTAAAATCTGTCAGGTTTTCCAAAAATACAACCGATTGAAACTTATTTGGTTAAAATATGGTTGGAAGTAGTTTACGTAGATAGTCCGGAAAATCATAATTTTCCTACTAAATGCAAACAAAAAATTCACAGACTTGTTTAAACTCCACGTAGATCCAATTATTTTTGAACAAAATCAACCATTTCTGCATAGTGCGCAATCACCAATTTCTAAATAAAAATTGTTTGGTAAACTTTAAGGTTTTAAAATACTTTATTTTATAAATGTGAACCTGATGAACATTATTTCATTTTGTATTAAAAAACAATTGGGTTTTAAATATTTTAAGATCCATATATTACCACTTGGGACTTAATACCAGATCCCCGGGCTGAAGTAAATTTGATCGTGACCGTCGTGGCTCCCACTCCTCCCGATGTAATTTGGGCAGTAGCACCTCGCTTTCTCTTTAGATCCGTAATTTTGATGTAGGTTATTGTTTTTGCAGTTCCTGCCTGTGTCAACGTATAGGTTTTCGTCGTGGATTGCAGCATAACTTTGTTCGATGAAACAGTCTCACTGGCAATTAGGGTATCAGTTGTGGCTTGTGTCCCATATGTATAATCGTTTCCTTCTTGGCTTCCGCCTAGATTTCCATTAATCAGGCAAACGTTTGTGCCAACTAAAAGCAAAAACACGGCAAGAAGGTACATTTTATAAGGTTGTTTTTTGGTGAAGAGATGAAAGCTTACTGTTGGTTGACACAAAACAGCATTTCGTTTTTATAGGGCCGCCTCGCGCTGTAAATTTTTGTAACCTTACCGATGGCCTATTTCGATAAAAAGAGGAGATAGAGAAGTGTCTGCGACACATCTTTTACACAATACATTCTATCTTGCTACACAATGAAAAATAATACATATTGAGAGAAAAAAGAAAGAATAAGTTTCCCGACTATGAAATACCCGTCCTGATAAAAAATGGGAAATTTTCAAAATTTTGTAGATCAATTTATAGACAAATAGCTTTTAAATACAATCTTAGTCCTTCCAACACACAATTTTCTACTTTTACAAAGTGGGTGGCATTTACCAATGTAATTACTTTTTGCGATTAAAGTCTTGAACTATTATAATTACTGACATCTTCAAAACTGACTGGTATATATCGACTTGTCTTTCTAAGCTAATGGTTGAAGATCATAAGATCATCATATAAGCTTACAAACTGGTTAAAAGTAATAAATTCAATCCAATTTTGATTGGAAGAGTTCCCTGAAAGACTTTTCTTTCTGTTACATACTTGGCCAGAATACAACATACCCTTTTAAATTTACATTGAACGGGTATTTATGAAAACCGGTTTTGTTACATCGAATCTTATTATTTATGGAGAAAGTGAAATTTTCTTTAACTTGGCTATCAGTTGATTTAGTTGTATGTGATAAACTAAAGTATAACCATTTGATGCACGGTTTTCACTGACTCCATTTATTTCATTACCGAGCTATTCATTTTTCGTTACCCAACTTTTAGTCATTGACTCCAATCTCACCCGAAAGATAGTCAATGACGGCAAACTTTGGTAAAAGGTAAGTGAGGGCAGCAATGTAATATCACATATTGATAACAATATTGCAACAGCAAAGAATTTTTAGAAGACAACGTTTTTATTGCCAAACTTTATTATGGTGCTTGTTATCTTCAAGAATCCTAATTAAAAGTTGTTATTGCGTGGAAAATTATGCACTAGTTAATTTTCTTTATCTTTCTAAAGCTGTTTGTACCGGCTTTATAATAACACTTCTAATATTTTTATCGTTTTAATAGAAAATTTTATAACTTTAGTCTACTGATAAAAACTTGATTCATTTTCTTAATTTATTTCCTCTTTTAACTAGGCATTTGACAATTTCACACAAACCCGAATTTGCTACCTTAAGCCTTAAAATTTACCAGCCAAAAATATGTTAATCAGGTCCTTAGCAACTTTGTATTTTTGCAAATGGATCGGGGATTTTCTGAAGCTTGAACAAACCCAATTAGCGGCCCGAATTGAGCGAACAGTTTTGCTTTTAACTAGCAAGTTGAAGGCCATTTATCAGGGAATCTAATCTAATCCTTTTACTGGTCAAATAAATTAAAATGGAAAGCCTTTTTCGGCAGCCAGGCCACTAAATTACACCAAAGATAATTAACCTGTAGGGCCACGGATTTCGCGGAGAGCGGGAAAGTTGGAGTCTCGATGGTTTTTGCGGGAACTTTATTAGGTCTTCGACCCAAAACAGCGGAAGCAGAAGCGACGAAGGAGTATCACCAAGGACCAAGGACCAAGGAGCCAACTGAAATTACAAAATGGCGCAAATTATTGCGGGACAGCCTCGACCTCGTTGGCTATTTCCGTCGGCAGGCATTTTTCCAAATGAAGTTTGCAAGTAATCATGAAAAAGGTAATTTAATAAAAGCAAAATCGAGCAACATAAAACTAATTTACGGCCTGAAATTGCCTGTGAAAAGCGAGTGAAAACACAGAAAAATGTGGCCAAAGAAGGCTGAGGTCACAGTTCGGGCCAGGCCTTTGAAGTTCAAGGTTAAACACACTTTCCAGCTGCCGCTGCGGTCCATCCAGCTGTAATAATGGACTGGTGAAAAGGAGCAGAAAGCAAGAGATCGATTCAATAAAGGATAAGCCATCGCATGCATAAGCTCCTTGAGTGGCTGAGTCCCCAACAAGCGGCAGTGCCACATGTCCGGCAATTTCGCAGCAGCAACATCAAGGGGCACAGCGGCAAAGTCCGGAGCAACGACAGCAACATTGCTCAATAAGCGGCTCAAAATGGTTGCAAAAAGGGCAAAAAGCTGGCTTTGTAGGAGAAGGACTTCCTCAACTTTTTCCACATACTCAGTCCTGTGAAGAGGAAAAATAAGTTCTGAACCGATTTAAGTTCATACCTCTTGACATCAAATTAAATAAAATAATGTAATCTTTAGAATTTTTAAATTTTTTGTATAGCTTAAAAATATTAAATTAATAAAGTGATTCAAATGTATATTATTATACCTTATCAATTTTTTATAACTTATTTAAATTAAGAGAATAAGGAACTATGTGCTTGCAAGCTTATGATAAACAGAAAATGTTCACTTATTTTTTGGGCAACGTAACTTTTAACTCATAAAAACATTAAAACTTTGTCTCGTCAGAATTAATTTTTGAACTTACTTGCACAGAGAAAACAAACAAAAGTGTTTGGTGCAAAAACAGTGTCGAAAAATTGTATGAAGTAAAACGTTTTCATACGGATTAAAGTAAAGTAAATCTACTTAAAGTTTATTAAATGTTTTTTTCACTTTTAAAATGTTGTTGCACTGTTTAGGTGCAAAAACAATGAAATTTAGAGCTCAATTTTTTCTGTAAGTAACTGACTTTATAAATCGGTTGGTAAACTATTTTAAAAGTGGTTTTCAACGCCACAAAACCCTCCTTAGCCACACATATGACAAAACAATTTAAGAGCTTATTTATTCCACATATTTTTTTACCCCTTCCGCTCTCATTTTGCTTCTTGCTCATTTTTGCTGGCTTGTGTCCAGGCGCTGAAAATATTTGGCCAGAAAATGTTGCAAGGCCAAGAACTGCAGCAGCAAATATTGCTAAAAATGCTAAAGGACAACATGTTAAAGTTTAAGCAAATATGTTTGCCAGTGAGCAGCGTCCACCCCCTGTAGCCTTTGACCCCCTCCCCCATTAGACCCCCAACCCCCAACCCCTCCCCCTCATGCGGTGGCATTGGCTGCAGCATTTTACGGGCAAGCAAGCAATTTTGGCTTCCTTGCTCGGATGCGAATCCAAATCAAAGCATTTAAGCAGGAATTTCTGTGTGTGTCCTTTTGCATTATTTAAAAGTTGCTTTAACGCCATTTTATGCTTCGGCACGCCAGCGAAAGTGGGGCAAACCATCTGGGATCTACGATGGCTGCGAGGAAAGTTTTCTGGTACTGGTACTGGTACTGGCCTACGCAAATGAGACCCAATTCCGTGAGGAGTGGAGTAGTGGAGCAGGTTCGAGCAGTAGGTCACCACCGGAGGAGCCGTACTTATGGCGAGGTTGAACTGAAAAACGTTTAAAGACCGCCAAGTCTTAAGTTTTTGAATAATGGCCAGTTTATGCGGTAAGTGATTTTCAAATGATTGCAGATATTGTGGTCATAACCTATCATTTAAATTTAATATTATTTAATGTTTTTAACGTTTTAGGAAATTTATTTGTAAATTGCTTAAATCCTTAAATTATAATTTAAAGCTCACCCTAATAGTTTTCTGAGGCTACTGTAAATCTAACTTTAATAAAAGAAAACTGTTTTAAATAACAAAAAGCTTAAATTATAAAAATTTAAAAATAAATGTGGTTCAATAATAATTTAATTTATAATTATGCCAATGGAGTTGTTAATATTTATTCTTAATTCTATTTTATATAATTTGACTTTTATACTAAGCCATTCGCCAAACAGTCTTGTTATCACTATTAATCTCAGATAAAACTTATTTTTAGATAAAAAGTTCACTAATTAAGTTTGTATAAACTTTAATTTAATATCAACATACCAAATCATCCAAATTTCCGGAATATAGTGTTTGTGCTTGTGGCATTCTCGGTGCTTTTCCTAAGTTTCTTATTTGCTCCATGTTGGCTTTATGGATAACTGCTGAATTCCTCATAAGCATTCTCGCATACCACAAGCAAAAATAACAATCTGTTTTCAAGGTTTTCGCAGCTGGTTTTTCTGACCCTCTGACCATCTTCATGCAGCCACCGAACATAATCTAAAACAGAAATGTTAAAATCCATTTTAATTTCTATTATGCAAATTTGCTCAAGTGCCATGTGTCGGGTTGTTGGGGCGACGTCAGATTTTAGCCCACTCCATTCCAGAAGTGGTCTGTCCCACAAACACACTAATATGTATGAGATGGGGAAGTGGTTCCGTCTAGTCTGGTTCGCCTTGCTCCGAATGCATGATAACTTTATTACGGTGGAGATGCGGTCCACGATGAGGGGTGAATATCGGGGACTGGACATCTCAAAAAAAATACAGTGAACCTTCTTCAGTTGGGAATTTCTTTTGCTAATAAAAAGTAAGGTCTTCAAAAACTTGGTTAAATTATTGGAGGAATGTATAATAAGACCATATTTTGGTTTTGAAAACATCTATTGAATAAATGATAAGACGATAATGACATCAAGGAAAGAAAATGTCAAAGGACATTAAATTTAAATATATTTTTTATTAGAAAGATATTATTAAAAGTTCGGCCATCAAAGTTCTACTGTAGATCCTGACCTCCTGCTTTTGATCCATATGCGGCAAACTTTTGCTAAAATAATTTTGGTTGAAAAATTTGAATGCAGAAATTTTCATAGCTGCATCCTTTCATTTCTGACATGGCCAATTCAATTTGTGAAAATATGGCACAAAGGCGACCGACAAAACAGGGCGAACCCGACATACTGGCATATATACAGAAGTATAGTGGGTGGCAGTACACATATGTAGTCTGTGGGCAGGGAAGAAGCCCAATTTAAACGCTTGCCGAGTGACACATGCCAGGAGTGTGGGAACAGGGATGCGAGACTGGAGACAGGACACAGGACACAGGACACGGTTCGGAGATGGGAGATGGAATACGGGAGATGGGAGATGGGAGACAGCAGACGGAGCTGCGACAGGAGCCACATGGCTGATGACAAAGCAAAGTGGGT